GAGATGATGTTTCCAATCCACTTTATTTATATAGCACATTTTTTAAAACAGGGTTTGCCAAAGTGCTTCACAATGAACATAACATTATAACAAAATATCATATTACACGAATAAATAAAAGGCACATAAAGACTATGGACAGACAAATAGGTAGTGCATAGCTCAGACTGACTCGTAAGCGAGGGAAAAGAGGCGGGTCTTTAGGCGAGACTTAAAAGCTTGGATCAATGCCGCTGTTGGATTTTATTTGCAGCAACAGTATAATATTTTTTTGTACCAATTAAGGGGATTTGTTCAGCTACTTGCATCCCCAGCCAAATGCATTTTAGAAACCTTTCAGAATCTGCTCTTGTATTGATTTATTCTTGGTTCCTTCCAAGGTCCAGGCTGGACAGCAAATTTCAGGGAGTCTGGAGGGACGGCAGCTTCCCAAACGGCACCAGGGTGGGACAGCTCGTCGAGGAGCGGATCGGGGACGCAGGGAAGTGGCTGGGCCAACTTCACCGAGTTCCAGCCTTTCTCCGGGTGAGAAACACAAGCCTGCTGCTGACCCGAAAATACAAGTCTGCTGCTGGGACGATGTTCAAGAAAAAACACACATTTAAATTCCATGTCTTCTAAGTTACAGGTTAAATCGATGATATAGGTTTCACTACAAATGCATTTTCACTGCAGAAACTTTCCAGGGAACTAGAGTTAAGATAAGATGGAACTTTATTTATGTAAGGCATATATTAAACAACACTTAAAATACATGAAAGGTTAGGGAAAGGAAGGCAGGGTGTCCGCTGGGTCTTAAAGAGTATTAAAAGTTGGGTTATTTTTAGTTGTAGCGCATGGTGGATATGACACTTTTAGGTGGTGAAAAAAGGTCCCTATTCTGGGGGTTAGTGCTTTCCAAATGTTCAGGGGCAATAGATCTGTATTGTTGTATCTATTTGGAGTATTTCCAACTTGCTGACCCCCCCCTCTGTGTTCTCGTTGCGCTACAGCACAGAGAAGGAGCCCAGGTGCAGCTCCCCGGCGGCCTCGGACAGTAGCGCTGTAGAAAAACAAGCCAAACCAAACCAACAGAAAAGTGGTGAGTGTTTCCCTGACGACAACAACCGCTGTGTGTTGTTCCCAAACACAACAACAACAACCTCACTTCCTTTTTTATTGAGATTAACACACAACATGTACAAAAGCATTTAAAAAAAGAAAAATAACTAAAAGTACATAATAAAAAGAAAAATGTGAGCTACAAATAATAACAATAATACAGACAAACAGAAATATAATAAAAACAAAATAAACCCTAACCTCCCTCCCAGACATATAAACACACACACACACACACACACACACACACACACACACACACACACACACACACACACACACACACACACACACACACACACACACACAGGCCCTTTCTCATTTCTCTAATTCCCCTCCTCGACTCCTATCCTCGTGTCTTAGTCCCGCCCACAGGAGATGCGAACGGAGGAGTCGAGGAGGGGAGCCGAGGAGAGAGGAGGGGAAGCAGCAGGCGGTTAGAGAAATGAGAACTCCTCTCCTCTGAGCGGTCATTTTAAAGAGACGTCCATTAATGATGACAGGAGGCACAGCAGCCCTCTGTCTGATGGACAGATGTGTTCATGACCACTTATATATTTACATTTAATTCATTCACAGTGCGGTATAATGAGACAATAACAGGCTACAGATGCGGACACACACACACATATATTTATATAACTATATAGTTATATAAATATATACAATTTCAGATTCAAACAAGTATGAGAGCACTCTCATAATAACGTAACACAATCAGAGACTGGATATATCCCCCCCCCCTCTGGTCGCCTGAAATGGGGAATTTAAATTGTATTTACAAATATTAAAAGTAAGCAGAAGACACCAAACCATCTGAGACCTCACTGGACCACACGCACCTAAAGCTCCTAAAACATATCATATCAGGATACAGCTGTTTTATTATGTGAAGCACTAAATGGTTTTAGCACCTCTTTGTTTGTAGATATCTACTAAACTAAAGCAAATAAAGAGAGTAGGCCTGTTATACTGAGTGATACATATTTTACACACCGCTCTGCTTTCTGCACGGACCTCACAGCTGTTCTCACCTTAAGCATTGAGTCGCTATGAAAGCAGTTAATACAATGATATCCAGGGGATGCATGCAGAGCTGTCATTGGCTGAGATCAGTCCGGCCGTGCGTCACGACTCTTTGAAACATCGCTGTTCCCGGAAATACATCCGCGGAGGACCCATCAGTGTATCCTCGATTATAGCTCCTCCAGAGAGCCTCCTCGACGCTCGGTCCTCGATGTGCATTTAGAGAAATTAGATGTTGAGGAGGGGAAATTAGAAAAATGAGAAAGGGACACGCACGCACGCACGCACGCACACACACACACACACACACACACAGCACTCCATCAGCGCTATCAGACTGGAGTGTAAAACAAACTCACTTCCTGTGTGTCTGCAGATGT